GAGAGGTGTGTTCAGGTCCCCCAATATTATCATAGAGCAGATGCTTCTTCTGTCACTCTGAAATGGGCTTTGTGGAGAGAGACATCCTCTTCTTTTCTTTGTCTCTGCTGGTGTCTCTCCTTGTGTCAATGCACTCCACTGGTTGGCGGACCATTTGCGTGGTGGTTGTGGCATCTAGCCACTTTCATGGCAGCCATGTTCCTTGGCGTTGGTGGTATGCCTGGTTGTGGGGTATGTCTGGTCCCCTTCTCCATGCCTCTTGTCCCTGGGTGGGCCCCAAGGCGCTGACTCCATGTGCCTGGTTGTGTGAGGAGGGTCTGATCCCCTTCTCCATGCCTTGGGTCACCAGTCAGGCCGCAAGGGGCTGGTGCAGTGTGTCTGCTTGAGGGAGGGAGACCCGGTCCCTTTCTCCATGCCCCGGGTCCCAGGGGGAACCTGAGGCACGGGTGTGGCGTGCCTGGTTGTGGGAGAGAGGTCTGGTCTCCTTCTCCATGACTCGGGTCCCTGGTCATGCCCTGAGGTGCTGGCATGGTTTACCTGGTTGTGGAAGGAGGGTCTGGTCCCCTTCCCCATGCCCTGGGTCCCTGGGCAGGCCCTGAGCTATCGGCATGGCATGCCTGTTTGTGGGAGTAGAGTCTGGTCCCCAGTTCCATGCCTTGGGTCCCTGGGCAGGCCCTGAGGTGCTGGCATGGTGTGCCTGGTTGTGGGAAAGAGGTCCCTGGGCAGGCTCCGATGTGCTGGCATGGTGTGCCTGGTTTTGGGAGGAGGGTCCAGTCCCCAGATCAATTCCTCAGGTCACTGGATGGGACCCAAGGCGCTGGCATGGTGGGCCTGCTTGTGGGAGGGAGGTCCAGTCCCCTTCTCCATGTCTTAGGTCCCTGGGTGAGCCCCGAGGTGTTGGCACAGCATGCCTGGTTGTGGGATGGTGGTCTGGTCCCCTTCTCCACGCCTCTGGACCCCAGGCAGGCCCCGAGGCGCTGGCATGGTGTACCTGATTGGGGGAGGGTGCTCTGGTCCCCTTCTCCATGCCCTGGGTCCCCGGGTTGGCCCCGAGGCGCTGGTGTGGCATGCCTGGTTGTGGGGGGGGGGCAGTTCCCTTCTCTATGCCTCGGGTCCCTGGATGGGCTCCGAGGTGCTGGCATGGTGTGCCTGGTTGTGGGAGGAAGGTCTAGTCCCCAGTTCCATGCCTTGGATCACTGGGCGGGACCCCAGGTGCTGGTTTGTTGTGCCTCGTTGTGGGAGGGTTCCAGTCCCCTTCTCCATGTCTCTGGTTCCTGGGCAGGCCCCAAGGCACCTGCACAGTGTGCCTGGTTGAGGGAAGGAGGTCCAGTCCCCTTCTCCATGCCCCGAGTCCCAGGGCGGGGCCTGAGGCACTGGTGTGGCATGCCCAGTTGTGGGAGAGAGGTCCGGTTCCTTTCTCCATGACTCGGGTCTCTGATCATGCCCCGAGGTGCTGACACAGCATGCCTGGTTTCGGGAGGAGGGTCCAGTCCCCAGCTCCATGCCTCAGGTCATTGGGTGGGACCCAAGGAGCTGGCACAGTGGGCCTGGTTGTGGGAGGGGGGTCCAGTCCCCTTCTCCATGCCTCAGGTTCCTGGGTGGGCCCCAAGGTGCTGGCAAAGTGTGCCTGGTTGTGGGAGAAAGGTCCCCTTCTCCATGCCTTGGGTCCCCAGGCAGGCCCCAAGGCGCTGGCACAGTTTGTGTGGAAGTGGGAGTGGGTTCTGGTCTCCGGATCGAAGCCTTGAGTTCCCAAGGCAGGCCCCAAGGTGCTGGTGGTGTGCCTGGACCGGAACTAATTTTTTGTCCTTTGCTT